ATGGGACCCATTTTTATAACTCCAAAGTTTCCAGCTACAAATGGGCTGGCCGAACATTTTGTCAAAACTTTAAAAAAATCTTTAAAAGTAAATTTGAATTCTGGTGAAAAAAGCACCTTGGACGTGATACTATGAAACATTGTGCAAGGGGTGAGTTTCGAATCGATATATTAAAACCATCTTAATTCGTAAATAGAGTTAGTAGAAACTAATATTATTATTAAATAATAGGCTATGAATGGACCCCGAATGTTCTGATGTCTCCTTCTCCTTATTACAGAGTCGACAGGAGTCACTTTCTACCGCACCTATAATCTTCATGTGTTAATTAAGTCTATAATGTCATGTAAAAAGTTCAGTGTAGATTTTAATAACATTTCTGTTAAGGTTAGCATCAACTTTCATGAGTTCGGAATCAATGAATCTTCTTGACTGTCGCATCCGTGTTTACGCTATCCAGTGTTCAAGTAGATGTTGTTTTTCTCGTTCACATAATAAGGGTTTTTGTGAAGCTATTTGTTACCCCGAAGAAAGGCTCTGGACCAATGAAAGGAGTACATGCACCCTTCTTTACTAGGGAGTCTGCTATTTCATTGTCATCATGTCCTTCATGTCCCTGTACCCACATAGGAGTAACATAGTTCCTCGTTGCTATGGTATTGAGAAGTTGAAAGCATTCCCAGACCAATTTTGATTGGAATGAAGATTTTGCTAAAGATTTTAGAGCAACTTGGGTGTCTGAAAGAACGTATATTTTGGCACCTCGAGTGCTTTGATAAGACCTTTTATAAGATGAATAGAAGATTAGCTTTTTATAAAGAATTCGAAGTGGCCATCAGTGACCGATTAACTTGGAGAAACAATGAAATAATCTTAAAACTGAACTCTCAATTATGGTACACTGATGGGTCTAAAATGGAAAATGGCAGTGTAGGAGCAGGAATTATAGAGGAATTGAAGAATCTTTATGGAATTGACGAGTGTCAAACGACGTATCTAACTCTGCCCATCAATGTATCAGGTTCGAAATTTTCAACAGCAAAAAACAGTCCATCTACCGGCCTAAGAAAACCGATTGACATAGGTATCACGACTTAGTGTATTCCTTAAACTTTTCTCTAGCTAGGCTGTTGCTGTGATCATCAACTTGATGAGATCGATGAGTTTAGATGAGATATTACAAACATTTTTTCACTGTTGCCGGAAACGCCACAATTATAGGCAAGGGTCTTTGGTGGAATTTGCAACTAGCTAATAAGCACAAACTAGTAAGGAACTTATTCCATAGGACAAAACGCTGTGGAAGGTGGAACCAATGTAGTGTTACGCTTACTGAGTACAACAAATCAATCAGATAGTCAAAGTAGACTACCTGGCGTAGCTATTGTGAAAGTATTGAGAAGTTGCCTGAAGCAGCTAGACTACACAAGGCTTTAAATAAGGTCACAACAAATGATGTGGATCTTTTAAGAACAACTTTCCTTTATCACTTATCACCTCTCCTTTACTTTCGAGTTTCTCTTGCAAACACGCTTGTCTGGCTCCGTAAAGCAACAATATCACAATCAAACAGAAAAGATATTGCTCCCACATATCAGGAAGATGCACTATCTGGTACTATTTTTGAATGAAACAAGGTAAATTGGGCGATCAGCTCCTTCAATAATTAAGGCGTCTGGAGGCAATGGTATCCGTCCTGCGTTACTACAGAAATGCACGGGTTTATTTTACTATGAGTTACATTTGTCACTGCTGGAGAGGAGTGAACATCATATTTATTCCTAAACTTGGTAATAAACCCATGGACCACCCAAAGTCTCTTAGACCTATTAGTCTTACCTTACTGAAAACCATTGAAAGACTGATTGATGTGGACATATGAAATAAACTGGAGCCAACTGTGCCTATCCACTCCACCTAATTTGCCTACTCATAAGACAAATCTACGGAGATCGCGCTGTATCATTTGGTGAGCAAAACTCAAAGCATCTTTCAATCTAAAGAGATTGCTTAATGTGCATTTCTGGGTCTTTCGCCATTGCTAAACTGGAAAGATAAATAAATTAAATTAAACATTAAACTTAAGCAATCTAGATACAATTCTATAGCTTATGCAGATGATCTGACAATCATTGTTTCTGGTAAATATGATGCCACGTTTACTGACGTAATGCAGGCGGCTCTATAAAAAGTTTTGAACTGGTGTACAAAAGAAGGTTTTAATATTAACCCAAAAAGAGCAGTGTTTGTGCCATTTTTTAGAAGAAATAAACTGAATATTGGGTCCCTATTTATAAAAGATATGGCTCAGGAATCCTCAGATGAGCGTCCTAGATAAACACTCACCTGAATAATAATTGCCAAACCCACCCGAGTCATGTGGATGTACAGAAACTCTTACAGTAAAACCTGGAGCATAAATCCCAGAATTCTATTGTGGCTATACCGCACAATGGTCAGACTCATTGTACCCTATGTAGCTCCTGTATAGTGGGATAAAACACAACAAAATTATGCATTATTCAAATATAATAAACTGCAAGGAATCACATGTTTCACTATGATACGAACTATTCGTATCTGTACTACAGCACTGGAGTTCATAGTGGAGTCCATTACCCTCCTGCATCTCTTTATTAAAAAAAAAGCACCTTTAAGTGCAGCTGAGCTACACCCTTTTATCAGTATGCACGGAATTCTCGGCAGTCCTAAGTTCGTGTCTGCAGAAAATTCAAAGTCCTCATTTCTGGGTGCTGGGTGCCTGATATTGAGTCTAAGGACAATCTTGCGCAGTCAAGATCTGCCATTTAACTTTGTGGACTGGAGCCATATTGTGAATTAAGTTGGTCTACAACTAGATCTCGCGACATTCTAGGTAACGATTAGGCTAAAGAGCTGGTTTGTTCCTACAGTTACGGTAAGGTATCCTTTCTCATCACCAGGAGGATGATGAGAGGAGATCACTGTGTCAAAAATTACTTTTTTCACAAAAAATCAACTCGCGGTGTTCTGTTCCGTTAGGAGTCGTTACCCTTTTTATTTTTATTGTATTCAGTTCTAAGTAGGTTGAAACAAGAGCCAATGAAATTATATTAAGTGAAAAAATTGTTTTACATGTGTTTCGTCAATCGAAGTCAATCGAAAAACAGTCTGGTACTGAAAATAGCTCAGCCCTATCCCCAGATAATAAACGCTACAGTTTGGACCATTATGTACCATTATTGTTAAATGATTTTTAAATCACTCTAGAATACTCAACGTTTTACTAATGGTAAAGGCTGAATGCTCTTTAAATAACTGCATTCAGTAACACGAGTACAATTTTAAGTTATGAATAATTTTTTTGATAATTGTGTGGTACAATACGAAGCTATGTCCTCTTGAGTTGTGTTGAGTACTCTCATGCCAATTATAACAAGCAATATGGTTTCTACAATTCTTGTATCTTTATTGTTTGTATAAGAGCATACAATACTACTATCAAAATATTAATTTTGGTTTGAAGCAAACGGCACCTCATTCTAAATTTTTTATTATTGAAAAATGTTTTATATTTATTTAATTACATTGTGAGTTGATTTTCCCATATGCATAAATGTATATCCATGTTTCAAAATCTCATATGTTTGGCGTACATTGTTAAGTTACATTTAATATGGAAATCGGAAACAAAAATTTTGTGACAGAAATAATTTTTATTTGCTTAATGCTCACCTTGATTTATAACAAATTTGGATATGTTTTGAAACAAAAAAAACCGAAACATGAATACCCTTTGCACTTAGTTATATTATAATTAAACAATTTGAAATTTGACAATAAAATTTCTTCGTCTATATACCTATATTACATGAAAATTGTTTTTTTCGACGGAAAATGCAATGAAGATATTAGTGGGTAAACAAGCGAGTATATTTTTAAAATTATATGATCTGCATATAGTAACAGAGAGCCCCTGAACCAAACTAAGTTGACTGTAACTTAAAAACAATGTAGAAATTATTAGGAATTATTGTAGTAGGTTCTATCAGGTGCAATACAATCATGTTAGAGGATGACCACATAAATGCAACTCCTGCTACTTTTTTTAATGGTTATTTCAGAATATGCAATAAAAAAATTATTTGAAATGGAAATAAAATAATAACTTTTTAGTAGATATATTTTTATAGGTATTTTTGATATTCCATCTGCAAAGTGTACCCCTTCAATATATTGCTGCTGTTTGTTAAAGTGAAAAAGAGGATGGCGCTTGAATGACTCATTTTTCGCTTACAAAAATTGTCAGCAAACAAAATTGCCGCACCTGGGGCAATGCAAATCAACAATTAACTTTCAAAAGACTATTACATCAAAAAAAAAAGCCGATGTATTGCAAAATAAAGAACAAAAACCCCACAATTGTGATCTCTACGACTACATGATCACCAAATTTTTTTTATAAATTTAATATCCATTCGGTGTTGTTGCTTGAGAAATTTTTAGGTGTAATTTCATGTTTTTAATTTACCAAGGTCATAAATTTTTTCGACAATTAACTTTTTGCGGGGTTACACAAACTCAAACTCTCGACACTGTAAACATCCATCAAGTTATTGCTAAGATATTATTCGCCATATGCCTACAAGTGATAAAAAATTACCTCAAGTGATGTTAAATGTTTTGTAAAGGACATTTAAATAATGTATAGTTTTCATCTAATGGCAAAGTACAAACAATATCTTGTAACAAAAATTTAATCGAAATCTTAGTTACACATGTATTTTATTTATATTTACTTTCTGGATAATCTTGTATGATTTCAGAACTCTTTCACTAAGTTACAAACATCTTAACAAATTTAAAATACTGTATTTTTTTATAAAAACATGATTTTACATCATATATTTTTTTGTCGGTTAATAACTCATATAAGTTAGACATGTACGAGTATGTGTTTAATACATTTCAGAATACACACCCTCTTATTTCTATAAAAAGGTGAAAATTAAAGACTTTTTAGTTACTCAAGCGTTGGATTCTCGTTAAGCACGTGTTAAGTTTATACGGTGAAGTAATTTATAATATAATAATGTCTTGTATTGGGAACATATCTGAAAAAGAATGTCAGAACACTGAATTTCAACGAAAATTAAATCTTAGTGGATTAGTCACTAAACTAACAGCACAAAAAATTTCTGCTGATCCGAACTGGAATAAGGAAGATGATTTTCATTCTGATGTTTCGACTACAGACAAGTTTTTAACAAAAGGTGCGACTGCAGTTTATATATAATATATTGAAGCAATATATTGTTTTTCTTTAAAAACAATCAAATTTTAGTAAATTTATGCTGAAAAAAATATTATTGCACCAATATGATCCAATGCATGATCGAAGAAATTACAATTTTTGCAGACGTTATGTTAACTAATTGACTTAATTATTGACTTATAATATTTTTTATAAGAACCAAAACTTACTTCAACGCAATATTTGAAGTTCATGAATATAAGTATGACTGCTTAAGGTGAATGATGACTTTATTAATTAAATTTAGTTAAATATGTCCTTAGTTCACACACCAAATTTACGCATAGTGCTTTTAAATATATTTAATTATACTTTGCTTTCTTAACTTCAAAAAATAAAATAAGTGAAATTTTATTGTTTAATAGTTTATTTAATATGTGTAGAAATTATTTATACATACAGGTGCATTTTTGTTAACACCTTCATATGAGTTATCGATTGAAAGAGCAGCTGTGATATGCGAAAAGATGAGTATTAAAGGATATTTTAGTTTAACGAAAACCGCTACAGGGATCCTGTTTAAATTTTCGCATCCTGATGACTATCAATCAGTAATAAAAAAAGGATTTCATAAAGTAACAGGTGCTAGGTTTTACAGAAAAGTAAGTCGATCTTTTACGCTTATTTTTAACAGCAGATAATATATATTATCTGTTTCTCATAATTTGTTTAAATAAATCGTCTTTACAGTTTCTTTACAATTACATTCTAAAAACATTTTAAATTAAGTTATGAATAAATTCATAGATTGCAATTCCATGTCGTCCACGTAAAACGTTTACTCTCTATGCCTTAGAAGTTCCAGAAGACTTGCCTGTAGAGGACTTAAGACATGCACTGTATAAATTTGATTCAGTAGTCGAAGTTGTAAGAATACATTTAAATACTCAGTCACCTGCTTCACCAACTGAAAAAAGTGTCGATGGTACGATAATTATATGATGCAATTGAAGTTCATATTATTTCATATATATAAAATACAGAAACAGGAAGAAGTGAGCGACCTGAACGAAAGGTATTACCTCTCGCAGTTATTCGAATTACTTTAGCTTCAGTGGATGAATATAATATACTTCTACAAAATGGATTAAATTTTTATGATGCTACCTTTTTTCCAACAGATGCAAATATCACAATTAAGGATGCTAAAATAGATTACAAGCGCCGGTAAGTTTTTGATATTCTATAGACTATACGTGGGTATCACTAACACTGCAGCCAAAGAATCTATAGTACTCTAGATTCTTTTCTACAGCTATTCTTATAACAGAACAACTTATGATAGGGATATCACAAATCACGATTTTACATTCAGTTAATTACAATCCAGAAAAGAGACATGTATAAATCTACAAATAATATATAGGAAGTCAACAAAGTATTGCTTGAATAAATAATTTTACAAAGAATTGGAGCTTTAATACAATATGTGTCTTAAAACCAGTGAACGAAAACAAACACTAAAGTACAAAACATAGTGTACTGTTTGTCATCTTTGTTACAAAACACTAAACGAACAGTACATTAAAAAAAGTCCGAAACAATTCAACAATTTTTAGAGTTTGTGTACTTTTCACGAAGGTAGTGCTCATTATAACGATCTTTTCACGAAGGTAGTGCTCATTTTAGTTATCTTTTGCCGAAGGTAGTGGCCTTTTTAGTGATCATTTTCCTAAGGTAGTGGTTTTTTAGCGTTTGTCGAACAAAACGATTTGGAAACGTTTTTAATGTGCATTGTTGTTGCTACGTTTGCATAAGAAGAAGAAAAAATTTTGTTTGCATTTGTATTGCATGTATTTTGTTTGTGTTTTTAAATAAAGATATTGCGTATGCATTTATTGATGCATATTTAATATTAGGGGATGAATTACATAGATTTAATATTTTATTGCGATTGAATGATTCATATTATATTTATAATGCCAATAAAAGGCAAAAAAACTATCTTTATTTAAAAACACAAACAAAATACATGCAATACAAATGCAAACAAAATTTTTTCTTCTTCTTATGCAAACGTAGCAACAACAATGCACATTAAAAACATTTCCAAATCGTTTTGTTCGACAAACGCTAAAAAACCACTACCTTAGGAAAATGATCACTAAAAAGGCCACTACCTTTGGCAAAAGCTAACTAAAATGAGCACTACCTTCGTGAAAAGATCGTTATAATGAGCACTACCTTCGTGAAAAGTACACAAACTCTAAAAAT